GGGGGAAGATTCTTTTGAGAAGGCACAGAGAGGATTCCATTGGAATAGTAAGCATAGAAACCTCATTGGGGAGGATACAGTTAGGAACGAAGAAGGGTTTGAAAAAAGAGCTGATTCAACAGTGGTTTCGTATTGTGAATTGGAATTAGTCACGAGTCCAATTAAAAACTCGGGCTTGAGCATCTAGTCAGGAGTCTAAATATCCAAATCAACAGAGAAAACAAGCGTCAGAGGTCTTCACCGGATGGCCCAGTAGAGTTTTAGACCTCTTCCTGCCTCTCATTATTCATAGCAATCATCTGCCATGAATTTAGGTAAATTACTGAACAACAAAATGTATCAGATCATGGGATGTCTGGAGAGTGCCCGAAGCAGCAGTTAAGTTACAGAGCACTGAATACTCTTATCAAGGTCTCAAGCCGCACAGCTATAGCCTTCCAGGGGCTTGCAGTATCACTGATTGCTGGTATCCTGCACAACGTTTTGGTAAACTAGGGTTAAAGCTCAGTACCTTGCAAACAGAACCCTAAGAGAGGAGAGGGAATGTGCTGACATTTTGAGTGGCCTGGGAAGTGTAATTAATGCTACTATGTTCTTCTGGTTGCAATGGCCTAACTCTGTTTTCATCCCTGAACAGCAAAAGGCAAGGTCACTGGGAGAAAAAAAATGTACTTGGGTCCCAGCCCAATTTTCTGCTTTGGGGACGAGAAGGAAGCGCACTAAAATTGTAACCAACATTTCTGCTGACTACAAGTTCGAGATCTGCATCATTCCCAGCAGCTTAAAATAAATGAAAGCCCTTTGCCATTTTAAATCTTAAAATCTGCTAGTTCTGAAGTTTATAAAATAAAGAGCATGTTGTGGAACTTCAAGAAATTGAAAATAAATCATTCTAGAGGCAGACAACTTAAAGGATGATTTTGTTCTGGAAAAGAAATCTCGACTCATACTCCGACCTATTCTTTCTGAGCATGCAAATATATTAAATCAATTCTCCAGATGCCAGCCTCTGAAAAAAAATAAGTGACAGCTTCCACAGCTATGGCTTCCCGTTTTAAAAAGGTGTGCTTATTGTTTTTAGGAGGTTTGGTTTTTTTCAAAGTGGCAAATCAATAATCACGACGAGGTCCTTTACACACCATTTTTATAATTGCTTTTGATAGCAAGGCCACGCTTGTCAAGTTCCATCTTTCAGATTAACTGTGCTGTAACACTAATTGATGTGGGCAGAGACAACATTCCATTACAAGCATCTGAACTAACTTGGTCTAATTATTTAAGCATGAAGGACTATGTAAGGATTTACATACACTGAGGTGCTGTCTGCTTTTCATTTAGACCTAAAGTAAAAAGGATTCAATCCAAGCAATGGGACAAGAACTGGGTTCTATTTACTACCTTCACCTATTTATTTGGTTGCTTTTGTTCATAACTCAACATTTCCATGGTGTTTCCTGACACACGTGGCCTGGAAACAACCTGTTGACTGAGAAAGAGCTGTCATCTCTTCCCAGCACTACCGCAAAACAAAAGATCTGATTTTGACAGCATTCAGTCAAAGTTCATTAAGATTTCAGTATATCAAATGAAAATACCCAAGATAGAAGTAGTGGTTCACACATTAACTCTTTTCATCCAAAGATACTGCAGCTTGGTCACAGGATTGCTGCCTAAACATGAAGCCCATCTCCAACATTTGAGCAGGACAGTCTTTGCTCCAAGTCACAGAAAGCAGACAAGGACTCGGATGGTGAAGGCCTGATCAGATAAACCAGAAATCTGCTCTGGATCCTCACGTACCCAGAGAACAAGAGAGAGGAGCTCCACTTACCCTTGTAAGAGTCAGCTTTGTGTTTCTGCCCTCTCTCGTGGAGAACATTCACATGTTCAATGTACTTGCTACGGGACGAACCGACTACTTTGTAGGTCTGAAAAACAGCATATCTAAATACGTATCTAACTCATATACACACATGAGATAATACCTAGCTAACAGAGGTTACCAAACAAAATAAATGGGAGAGGAAAGGGCTTCAAACAAGTGCTACTGCTCATCGTAAAAGGCATATCAAATGATCGCAAGCAATACTAACGTATCTAAAAGTCCATTTTTCTCCACTAACACGTTAATGAAACATACAGGAATTAGGAAGAAAATATAGTGCTGCAGAGATTGAACAGAATATTTCAAAAGGCAATTATGCTCAGGTTTCTATTTCTATTAAAAAAACTACTAATCAAAAAGCTGGCAGCAAGAGGATTTGTAATTCTTTCAGCCAGGCAGGAACACAAGAGCGATGGTATTGTGGACAAGTACATGCCACTCACCATGCTATTTTTGGGGAAGAGATAAATTTGTGCCTTTAGGGGATGTGCTAGTCAGGATCTCAATTCTCAGAGAGGGAAGGGAGATATAAAATAAAGGCCTTAGGGACCTGCAGCACAGTCTGATAAACTTAGAGAAAGGCTGGTGAAAGACTGCTGGAAAAGCTTGAAAGCACTTGGTGCTTACAAAGCTCAAGCATGCTTTTTCTAAGTAATTAATATTCTTATCTTCTTTTGTGCCCCAATTAAGCCGGTTCCTAATCTTCCCCTCCCAGCTTCAAACAGCTTCCTTCACATCCGTCCTGCCCACTGCATCATGCTCTTAACATTTGCAGTTGGCAAGAAGAGGCGAGGTGTTAGAGACAGATGCCTTATTCCATCTTTGGAGGAATCCATTTCACATAACTTCGAATCTTCCCCCGAGAATCTCAATAGTCACACACACCAAAACAACAGTGAAATAAGCAAGAAATATGCAACGTTTCATTAGTTACCTTAAACTGATTTTTCCATGCAACTGTACTTAATTACATGCCACAACATTCACATTCTATTAACAGATCTTATTTTTCGACCGTGTTTTTAAAACCCTGAACGCACTTTGATCTACGTCAGCTCAGAAAGCACAGACAGCCCCCCTACTTACGTAGAACAAAGCACCGCATGCAGCAACCCCAGTGATGAGATAGTAAATCATGTTCTCTCCAGAAGAGCCAGGAACGCTCCCAGATGACATCTGGCGAAGAGGTGCTACAAAGAAACGTTCCTTACGGTGATGCGAAATTGATGCTAATATACGATCATAAAATAGAACTACGGAGCCTGAACTTTATTATGGGAAGAGATGGTTGAAAAACCTATAGCAAAACTGGGAGACATGGCTTGTAGGACAATGAAGTAGAACAGGGAGCGCTGCCTAACTGAATGAGGAGCACATCTGCAACCTCTCAGTGAGCCTACGATTTGCTGAGAATGATTGATGCCTGGCAGCTTCCACTCACTGGGCGCAGTCACACAAATGTGTCCTGCTTAAGGAAAGTAAAAGGATCAACCTGCCTTTAGTCATTCTCGCTGCACTCACTAGCAGCAGAGGTATCAAATTCCTCAGCAGCAGAGAACTCTAGGATGAAGCCTTTTGCTTTTAACTCGCAGCGTTACATTCCCAGCTGACCTTCAGATGCTGGCCGGGACGTGAGCAGAGCAGGGTTACACAACGCCATCGGAGCACACACAGCACGGCGATGACAGCGCAAGCCATTTCTTTCCGCCCACCACGGCCGTGCTGCGATGCTCGCTGCGGCCTTGGGGTTCCCCTATACGGCTATAAGGAGGACTCACACCTGACAGGTGCCGCGCGGGCACCCGGCTGCGTTTCGCGATCCCATCCGCTACGACGCACGTCTCACCACATAGCGCTGCTCATCAAAACGAGCGTCGCGAGCGACGATAGCCCAGTGCCTGCCGTGACGCGCCGGACTGCGCCCGGTATCACCAGCCTCGCGGGGCCGAGTCCGCCCCGCTACCGGGGCTGCAGCGCTTACCTCGGCACGGGGCCGGCGGTGCGGCCGCGGCATCCCTTCCCGACGGCGGGACCGCCGTTCCGCAAGGCACCCGCCTCCCGCAGCCCCGCTACCGTCCCGCCGCCCGCGACCTTCGCGCGTCCCCCGCCTCCCCCTCCCCGCACCCGGCACGTACCGCGCTGCGCGAGGCGGCCGGCGGACGAGGGCGCCCGGCTCAGACGAGCGGCCAGCGCCTGCGAGGCGGCCCTGCACAGGTACATGGCGGCGAGAGCGGGGCTGCGGGCGCTGCAGCCGGCACCGCAACGGCCACCGCAACGGGCTGCGATCGGCCCGCCTCTGCCGCACCGAGGGCGGGATTCCCCTCAGCTCCGCCCCGGCCGCGTGCCGCCGCACCTGGGCGAGCCAGGAGCTCGCACGGCTCCGCAGCCATCGGCCTCAGCGCGGGGACCGCACCGGGTGGGAGGGGAAGAAGCAGGGACTCGTTTAGAAGCGCTCGTCGCCATGCGTTCGTGAAAAACACGCCGGAAAAGCCGCCCCAATTGAAAGCAAAGGGAAAAAAAGAGATTTAGAGTCGAGGCGGTCACAGCCCGCAGGAAGCGAATCACAGCCGCGAGACCTTTCCAACCCGCTCACGAGCACCTCAGGGTCACACAGCGCGGCTGGTTCTCCCCTCCCACACAGGCAGGCAGCGTCATTGTCGCTACTCCATTTTTATTCCCTTCGACCTTGCCTGACCTTGACTTACAGCAAGTGCAGGGCTAGGCACTCAGAAGACTGCAGAACGGCAGCTGTTTGTCTCACCAGGCGAACAGCGAGACAGTGCTACAACACAGACAGCCAGCACGGCCCCCGGCTGAGCCAGCTCCTGCCTCTGTGCCACCCGGAGCACAGCCCCGCAAGCACTCAACTGGTGCTGCCTTTCAGAAACACTGCAAAGTCACGGCACTATCCTTGAGATGCTGACTAGAATGCCTTTGACGAGCAGCTCCCTTCTAGCTGTCTGCTGGGCTGTCTCTTAACTGATGCCCGACTTCGTAATACACATTCCACAAAACCACACACTTGATCCACATTATTTTCAGAACTATCAAGTACATAAATGCAATCAGAAAATTAATAAAAGCTAGTAGAATAACATACAAATGGCAAGAGAAGTCTTCAGAAGCTTCCTCCACGCTTTATTTTATAATTATGCACGTGAAATGAATAAACAGATAAAAGTTTAAATACTTGTAGGTGGGTCTGCCGTATTCCTTAATTCACAGGACACAACTGATGATATTTCTTATTGAACATTTGGTCAGCCTAGGAGAGAGGAGAGAAAAAACCCTTAGCAACAAATGCATATACCAGGAAACAACAAATGCAGGGAAAACACATACAATGTAGTCAGATAGAAAAGCTTCACAGCATTCGAGGTGTTTAGCAGCACAAGAAATCTTGGGAGGAAAATAGCCACAACGCTACAAGGTTTTCTGTATTAGTTTTAAGTATCTCTTTCAAATAACACTTGAATCGCTCTGAGCCAGCTGACAGAAACACAGTTAAATTGTCTTTTCAATATCCATAGAATCATAGAATCACAAGGTTGGAAACGACCAACAAGACCATGCAGTCCAACCATCTCCTCTTCACCATTGCCACCACTCGCACTAAACCGTATCACGCAGCACGTCGTCCAGATGCCTCTTGAACACTGCCAGGGACAGCAACTGCACCACCTCTCTGGGCAGCCATTCCAGTGCCTGACCACTCTCTGAGAGAAAAAGTTCTTCCTTATGTCTAATAATGGCAATGAGTCTTATTATTTCCTTAACAACACAAATCTGAAGGTACTGACTTCGTATCACTCTTATTTGGTAACACAATCAAAACTAAGGAAAACGTCCCACACCCAGTCTTTAACTCTTTGCCATTGAAGCAGTCGTAAGGCATGCCCTTCGGTATCTAAATTTGTTAGTACAACAGTGGTTGTTTTCTCCACATCTGCATTTTTAAGAGAAAAAGCAAACAGCCAACATGCACATAAATGAATACCTGTCACTTTACGATTGTGAAACTGGGAGCGCAGTGGCTAAATATCAAAAAGCCCAGACAAAACATTAAAGAAAACACTACAAAAAACAAAAGCCAGCAATCAAGATGCTGATAATTCAACTACATGAAAGATGAGCAGGATTATCGGTCTGTGTCAAATGTATCTCTACACGCATACTTACTATGAACAACCTGTACACTTACGTTCCCTTTCTTGTTTTCTTCTTTCATATTCCATTATATCTTCATTATGCTGCTTGAAAAGCTATAAAAACATCATATGTTAAATGGCTATACAACACAAAACCAGAACAACAGAACAACAAAAAAAAAACACCACTTTTTCCTTAAAAATGAAATCCTAATATCAGAAAATAAGCCAACAGGTAATCACAGGGAACATAGGGAAGATAAAGGGTAAATTAGATGTATATTCTCAATTGGCCAGTAAGACATAGAATAATAGCATTGCTTCGGTTGGAAAAGTCCGTACAGATCATCAAGTCCAACCACAACCTAACCGTACTACCCTAACTCTCACAGCCCTCCACTAAGTCATGTCCCTGAGCACCACATCCAAAGGGATTCTAATCACTCCACCACCCCCCCGGGGAGCCGATTCCAGTGCTTAACAACCCTTTCTATAATGAAGTCCTTCCTGATATGCAACCTAAACTTACCCTGGCACAATTTGAGACTATTTCCCCTCGTCCTGCCACCAGTGAGAAAAGACCAACCCCGCTCTCGCTGTAAGCATCTTTCAGATATCAAAGAGAGCAATAAGGTCTCCCCTCAGCTTCCTTTTCCCCTCCCTCCCTTCAACTGGGAGAGGTTTAGGTTAGGCGTTAGGAAGAAATTTTTCAGGTGGTGAGACACAGGTGCAAGCTGCCCAGAGAAGCACTAGATGCCCCATCCCTGGAGGGGCTCAAGGCCAGGTTGGACGGGTCTCAGGGCAGCCTCAGCTGGTCAGAGAGATCCCCACCCACAGCAGAAGACTAGGACCTGATGGGTTTCCAAGTCCATTGAGACTCATAGCATTCTAAGAGTTTTTGCTGGTCAATTTTTTTTTCTTGCTTCCACAAAAGGAACTGTTGGACCAAGGGGAGGAGGGATACATCCTGCCCTGGAAATTGTGACCCTCACACATGCTGCTCACCCTTTATATTTTCTCATGAGAGAAACTACATCCTGTTCATTCCAACATCAAGCCCAAGAGCTCTTACACAGTGAATTGCAACACAGACTTGGTAAGGCATAAGTAATCCTCAAGTCATGCCTCAGCCTTGACACCTGCTGCACCATCACCATAACTAATAGCAGCTATTGCCATTATACCACTATGATCCAGAAATAATTAAACTGAACAAAATCAACCAACACTTACAAAAGCCCACAGGGCAGCACTGGTGGTGAAAGCCAAGCCAACTCCAACCCAGTTTGGTTGGTCGTAGATGCGCTTTCTAGCAAAAAACGCAGAACGAGTCAAAGCTGTAAAGGCAGAAGACTTTAGTCACGTTAATGTATAATGTTCCAACACGGACACGTCGGGCACCGCGACGGGACACCACCGGCCGGGATGCAAAACGAAGCGAGAAAACGGACAAGTGACCGCAGGCTGCAGGGCACGACTCAAAGCGAAGCCCCGCCGGCGCACGCTAACGCGTAACGGTTGTGAGCAAGGAAAGGCCAGTCAAGCAGCTACAAGACACCCCATCGGCCCGCTGCCGCCGCTCACCGAGGCCGGGCCTGCCACCCGCCAGCTGCAGCCGCTTCGCTATCCTCAACGGCGCCGCCATCTTGCCCGTCGGGCGCGAGTCGGTCGCAGTCGCACAGGCTGCGCCAAAGAGCGCCTTCTACCGGCCGGGCGGAGCCCGCGCGTCCCACAGGGCACGGAACCGGTCCTGCGGGACGCTGGGACAAGCAGTACGACAGCACCGCGCGTGGGCAGCCACGACCGCAACCCACACCGCGTCCTTTAAGGCCAACGAGCGCCCGGGCTGAGGGGCGGGCTCAGAACTTAAGCCGCTCGCTGCGGGGACGCGTAATTCAATGGGCGGGGCCGGGTGGGGCCGGCGCGGGGTCGTGGCGCATGCGCGCTGCGCGTAGTGACCCGGCTGGGGAAGCCGCGCGCGGTGGCCATTTTGGCGGCGCTTCTCCGGCCTGCTCCGTGACCACGTGAGCGCCGCCCGGGGCTCGGCGCGGGGCAGCCCAGCCCGGCGGGCGCACGGGGCCGGGCCCGCGACCGGCGGACGGAGAGCGCGGCAGCCGCGGGGCGGGCCGGCGGGGGTGGGGAGGCGGCGGCCAGGCTCCGGCGCGGGGGGAAGGCTCCCGGCGGCGGCGAGCGAGCGGCGGGAACGGGACGCGGCCCGCCCGCCCCCCCACCCCTCCCGGAGCCTGTCGGCGGGAGCGGAGCGGCGGGACCATGCCGTCGGTCAGCTTGCCGCCCAAGGAGAACGCTCTCTTCAAGCGCATCTTGGTGAGTGGCGGGCTGGAAGCGGGTGGGCCGCGCGGCGCGGGCGGCGGCCCCCGTTCTGCCTTGTGGAGGGCCGCGGTAACATAGGCACTGCCGCAACCAGCGCCCAGGGGCACTGCGAGCGCACGACGCCGACGCGGCCGCCTTCTGGGCTCCTGAGAGCTCGGATTGTGCTCCAGCAGTCACGATAGTTTGGCGGGGAAGGCGGCTTCTAGAGGAGGAAGTGAAGGGCGGTGGAGGCTCGGGAGCCTTGCTGAAGTTTAGCTTTTTTTTTTTTTTTTTTTTAGCAGGTTAGGGCTGGCTGCAGCCGTCCTCGACTGGGCAGGAGGGTGTGTGATCAGAGTCATTAACTATCTATATATTGTTGAAAAACTCTGTTTTGTCCAAGAAACTTACGTTCCCCATCGGCTTGGTTTAGTGGTGTCCCTCCAGAGCCCAGCAGTGAGAAGTAGCGCAGGCCTCCCAAAGCAGCTGCACTGCTAGAGTTCTGTAAGCCTCTGCCATGCAAGCGGTGCACGTGGCTGATCTGCAGAACGTTGTGAAAATGGGATCTTGTTTGTAGAGCTGCAAACCTCTGATTTCATAGACTGTAGAGTCGCTCTGGTTGGAAAGGGCCTTAAAGACTATCAAGTCCAATTACGACCTAACCATACTAGCCCAACTCTAACAACTCTGTGCTGAATCATGTCCCTTTGGTAAAGACATGAGAAGACACACCACTTGGGTAGGATTAGAGCAGGCACAGGGAACTGTGAAGCTTACTTTTGCTTGGAGGGATTCAGTCCTGCCCAGCAGTTGGCCTGGCTGTGTTTTAAGCACGTACACGTTTTGAGCTGGAACAGTAGAGCTGGTTCAGATCACTGAAGAGAAATGTCTGTTGTAGTTTGTACACTGAAGCAATTACAGTTTTGTGGTCTTTTTACCTGAACAACTTCAATAAAAACACAAGAATTTCAGGTACTGTTTAAGCTACAAGTTATTTGGCTTTCTGTTTCCCTGCATCTTCCAGAGGTAAGCTGGTGACACATAGTCTAGTATTAAGGCTGCTCTGTCTGAGGTGTCTTTTTGAATAGCAAAAGGGTTAAGGTCAGTTTTCATCATGCTGAAAACATGGCTAATGAACTACTTGTCTGCCTTATTATAGGTAATGACCGTGCTTTGTAAAGTTTTGATTACGTGGTTGGCTTGAGTGTGAGGTGTCTTTTAGCACATCCTATTTATCCATGCAAGCCCAAGGAAACACACCTTTCCTACTCCCACGCCACCTCTCTATACTGCTCTTGTTACAACCCTTCCTTGTCGCAGCCCTGCATTTCAAAAGGCTGTCATCCTTCACGATGTTGTACCCTCAGCCACTCTTCCTGTGGCCCAGGGTTGGTGAGCAGCAGAAAGAAGTACCAAAGCTTGCCTGGGCAGCTGGCCCATTGGTGGAACCCAGGCTGCCTGGTGCAGTGGCCAGATGAGTTGGCCCGGGCTGTCATGTTCTGGCCCAGGCAGGCACCTAGAGCTGTCCGGGGGAGCAAGACTGGATGAGGATTTTTCAGCAGATGCTTTGGCAACCAGGCCAAGTGCTATTGCAAGGGTGCATTACTCTTCAGATAGGTAATTGCTGGTAGTGAAACTATGAACAGAAATAGGATATCAGTCACGCTTAGGTTTTTCTGGAAGTAGTGAACATAGGAACTAAGCAGGTGAGCACCTTTGTATTTTTCTAAGTGAAGTTTAAAAAGAAACTTAAAAAAAAAAAAAATAAGCGTTGCTTCTGAATCCTCGTTTCTTTGCCTTTCTTTTAAGAAATCTGCCTGTAGTACAGAAGTGAAATATTAAGGTCTTGCAAAAACCGTACTGAGCTTCCCAACCTGCGTTTACCTTTCTGTAGTGAAAGTTAATTATTATTTTTCAGAGTTTTTGTTTGGTAGAAAACAGCTTACGTGATCTGTGAGTTTCTTTTGCATATAGAAGGGCTTGCAAACCAGCATTTCCACTTAGCTGACGAATTCGGAGTTCAGAAAGGTGTGTGCTATGCCTTTGTTTGTTGCAACACTCTAACTAGACTAACCTCTTCCAGTCACATTACAGGTATGTGGAGGTTCTAATACAAAGAAGTTTTCCATATGAATGGCATTTCACAGCTTGATGTTCTGTAGTGCAGAGAGAAAGGAATCTGTGTGATCAGCTTGAATTACAAGAAAAAGCTAAACAAACGGTCACAAGATAATTGATGGCTATGCTGCTTCAATTTGTGCTTCTGTTAAAAATAAAGTTTCTAGCTTATATTGTTCTCGTGGTGTGGACTACTTGCTCTTAGGCCTGCAGGTAGGTATTTGTGTGCTGCTGCCATTTGCCAAAGGTCCTGTAGAATGTAGAAGAAGAAAAGCGGCTCTGTACATTTTCCCAACTCATTTATTTTGGGCCCGCTTGAACATTTGGAATGATTTGAGTCCGTGTCGTTCTTTCAAACACAGAAAATCTGAGCGGTCCACAGATCACTGAAGAAGATGTCAGGCAGAGGAAGAGGGCTGCCCCATCCCTGGAAGCATTCAAGGCCAGGATGGATGTGGCTCTGGGCAGCCTGGTCTGGTGGTTAGCGAACCTGCACGTAGCAGGAGGGTTGAAATGGAGTGATCATTGTGGTTCTTTTCAACCCAGGTCGTTCTGTGATTCTATGATAAGGTAGAATATTGAATGCAAGAACCGAAGGAATAGAGGAGTTAACGTTGACACTCAGAAATCTGGATGCACTATGAAGTAATGGAGGAAACAGTTCAGTATTTTTGTTTTTTGTTATGCCCTTCTTACTAGAAAAGATAAGAAAAATAATTGCAGGAAATATGATTGACTAATTTGTTTCAAATGTGACTGGTGAACCTCTCTGGCCTTCTGCCAGCTTATTATGCCACCGTGTCTGATCAGATGCCATTCACTGAGTATGTTCAGTTTCTACTTCACGAATCCCATCAACAGTATCCAACAAACTTTGGTTTGGATGTAGGAGTTGAATATATTTGAAACGTACTTTAAAAATACTAAAAGCAATGCTATTTGAGGTGGGATTTTTTCCACTTTCCTGGAAGCAGCAGAGGAAACGGTTTTCAGAGTCAGGATGTTCTGGCAGAGCAGGAAGATGCATGTGCTCACTGTAGCTGGTAGGCTTTGCCTCCAGTTGAGTGCGAATTGAGCAGCAAAAGAGAAGTCCGTGTGTTTAAGTGAAAAATCGTTGTATTACGTGATGCCAGTGAGTAAGTAAGGAATTAAGTGTTTTCAGGCCTGAATTAATAGGTTGTACTGATCTGTAATCCAGCACATAAAAGTAATAAGCAAAAAATCGGAGTGCAGTGCTGGCCTATCCCTAAGTTTGTAAGGTTGTATAAGATGGAAGCTCTTTGTTCAGGTCTGGTGGTTCTGTGCTGTGCTCTTGATGCCTGGGGTGGCGTATGGGTGGTCAGAATCGGTTCCCTTACGTGCTGCCAGGGCTTGGCTCTGCGTAGCTGCAGTCTGTCCTGCAGCAGGGCATCAAGAGCACCAGCGTGTCTGCTGCAGGAAGAGTGCTGTGTTTCACCTTGGGTTGCTCACTGCTGTGATAATGCTGCTCTGTGCAAGCGTGTTTGTCTTTGAGCTGTTCTTCCTGTCCACAGCTTTGTCGAGCGCTCTACTAAAAGCTGTAGGAACTTCCTAATGACATTAAAAAAAAAAAAAGCCTGTTGAACAGCATCTCGTTAGTTGCTCTGCTGTGAATGTGCCAAGTCCCTCCTGCCGGGCCATCTTCCTGTGTCTTCACTCCAGAATCTGCTCGTTGTCCCTCCGCTTCCAAACTTGACAGACCTGTGCTTCTCCTTCACTCGTGCTTTAGGCAGCAGCAGGCCTTGAAGATAATGCCGTCTCAGCAATTTGGGTGCTGACTCCAAGGCTGCTGAGGTGGCAAACCTGGAGTATCTTTTTAAATGGTCTCACTTGGAGATTAAAGACAAGATTAAAGACTAACTTTCAGAATTTTGCTTTTATCGGTCACCAATTAAATTAGCACATTTTGTATGCGATCGTCACTGCATTTGCATGACTGTACTGTAATCAGGCGTGCTCACCTCTGAAGTTGTACCGCGTGCTGTCTCATCTGAAACATGGAATTGCTATCAGGGCTTTTCCGATATTGTGGCTGCAGAAACGTCAATCACTTTTTTCCCCGTGTAAGAAGGAGTGCTACGCTTGGCTTTCCCAAAAGTAGGAGGAAAAAAATGGCTTGGTTGAAACATTGGAATGGAAATAAAGGACGGATCTTCTGTGTCTAGTAGCATTGCTGCGTCTTTGTTAGAGAGATGGGTGCTCCCATGATGGCACACAATCAAAGTAGCAAACCTGGTCATGCTGAAGAACGACCTTTTTTTTTATCTTAATAGTCGCATTAGATATTTTGCAATGACTCAGTGCTACAAGAAAACAACTCATACCTCAGAGCTGAGTGTAAAGAATACTTCGGACATAATACAAAGGTAGAAAGTGTCAGTGGCCTCAGCATGTGCCCCAGGCTGTGTCACGAGTTGCAGCTGAGTTG